ATTCAGGAACTCAAAAAATAATATGAGGGGGATTCACTGACACACAGACAGCAAGGTGATCTCATAAGCCTATTTTATTTTTTCCCCAAAATAATGAAAATAGACTAAAAAATGAGGCTTAACAGCTTGGTAAATGCGTTCTCGCGGCAGTGAATACACACGCAACAATAGAACAACTGTTCACAGAGGTGATTTCCCTGCGATCTGTGTCATATCACGTGATCAGTATATAGTGAAAGGAAAGCAAAGTATGCGATTAGCTGTTCCGAGCAGGGTCAAGCCGACGGTAGTCGACACCAGTAGTCAGACCTCTCCTCTCGTCGAAAAGGAGGCCCCATTTCGGAACACGTGTCTTGGAAAGAACAAAAAATATGGTCATGATCCCCTACGGTACCCAGAACCAAGAATTATTGTGCTGGCAAAACCAGCAGCAATCTACTCGACTAACTGATTAGTTCTTTCTCCCACACTTCCTGTTCATTTTTAAAATCAACAAATTTTAGATTATATCAGTTAATATGTAGTTAACAAGATTTGACATATGTTACATTTTACGAATTATTTTCAATTCAGTTCTACTACATAACTTTCCCATAATATTCCCCCTCCCCTCAATCAAGTAGTCCTCACCACATTTTGAAAACCAGTAACTTAAACTGTGAAAGGTATTCTACAGTCGTCAAAACTAATTAATTCAGAACATATGAATGTGACAGAAGGAAGAAAATTATGGCTTGCAAGTTCCTTATTCTTAAGATGGGACTCAGACAATGCCCGTCGGTGTTTATGCCTTAATGGGCCAATGTACTAGCCGCGGTTGCCATAGAAAAGAAACTATACTTTTGATAGAATGAGACTTAGCAGATGAAACCGAAAACCTGCTGAACGGCAACTTCGGCAACCATAAATTCCACATGTTTCGAAATTGGGTTGAACCAGAGCCGCCGCGCTGAGAAGCGACCGCTCGCTTAAGAGACGGCGAGTACTTACGGAAATGGAGAACTGTGAGCTCAGTCACATTCGTGACTTGGCCACGAAGCGACTAATTTCATGACGTCAGCTTACCCTTCCGTTACGCTTCTCAAAGTCTGTCATCCTACCGACAAATTTGCGAGATCCAGTTCCTGTAGCGAACAGCTGTCTGTGCCGCACAGCATGGGATGGGTTCCTGTGTCAGTGTGCAATTCTCGTTACTAACGAGTTCTATCTTCCGTCGAGTCCGCTGAAAGTTAACCGACGTTTCGGAGGAACATATCGCCTACATCAACCAGAGTGAAGATGATATCAAACTACCTGCTTCACGCTGGTTTCTTGGTTGCATTATTTTTCGACCCTGAAGTTGGATGTGAATATTCCTCTGAAACGTCGGTTAAATTTGAACGCACCACACAGCGGTTTATCTCAGAAGATACATAACAACCGCTGTGAGAATCACATCCTACATTCGTGGTACTGTCTTACTGGACTCCATCCAATGTTTCGTGACCTGAATCGGCTCCCAACCTCAGGGTGAGAGGTACTAAGTTCGGTCCTGTTGGAAAGACTTAAATTTGATAGGGGTTAGCTTCCTCTGTGTTGGATCTTAGTTCTCACAGCAGTGGTTACAAAGTGTTCTTCTAGAGAGGGGTGATTGGTAAGCTCCACGCTCGGCCGCTTTACCCCCGGGGAAATCGCCCCTCCATACCCATTGGACAGGAGGCTAGGAGACTGGTTGGGCCCCAGAGCCGATTTGGACGCTGTGGGATAAAGAAAACTCTCTTGCCCCTGGCGGGAATCGGACCCCGGCCTTCCAGCTCTTAGCCCGTCGCTGTTCTGACTCAGCTATTCTTCATCCGCAGTTTTAGTAGTAAGGTAAAGTTGTCCCTGTGCTTAAGTACTGAAGCACTTCGCCATTAAGGAGTATGGGGGAGTGGATGTATAGATCCACATGTTCTTGACCTCGGGGTTAGCAGGAGGTGAGTGGTCAGCTTCACGCCCCTGCCGCTTTACCCCAGGGAAAGAGCCCCTGGTACCCCCATTGGATAGGAGGCTGGGTGGGTCCCACAGCCGGTCTGGACAAAGTGGAGAAAATTCTTAAACTTACCGGGACTCGAACTGTGACCTCTCAGTCGTGCAGTCCGTATCCAGTCGCTATACCGACTGCGCTATCCCGGCTCCTACACTTTTAGTGGTAAATAACCTAAATATTAAACTGACTTACATGAGCTGCAGTCAGTTACGTTGACATGTTGTGTTCATTTGTAACAGTTTACGCAATCAATAGGTTGACGAGCGTAAAGGAGACCTAATTGTGCAAAGCTTTCAATGTCTGATGACAATAGGAAAGAAACTCCTGCCCCACGTAACAGAGAACAGACTGTGTGACACGCGTCACTCCGAAAACATGCGAGGCTGGTCGATGTACTCGTAGACCGCTACAACACACAGTGGGGACTAGAGCAGCATAAGTCACGATATCCCGACACAACTAGAACTTTAAATCCAGCGGTTCAATGCATGTCGGAAACGTTAACTTCTCGAAATTGACCTGGAGTCGGCTTTGGCGATCAACAGAAATTTGTAGGAGACTATGCATACGTTACATTTCCGTGTGTGTACATAGTGTCACGCGTAGGGGTACGCGCGACGAAATTAACGGGTTCTAGTTCGGATGGTTCGATATATTAGCGACTTCGGTTTCGTTCTCTCTCTTAACTACAATTAGTGCAGCTCTAGCGCTGTTTCGGTACTTTATAATTCACTGTTACACACACACACACACACACACTAAGATTCTCACTTTCCACTAGGCGTCTCCTAGAAACGAATCTCAACACAGAAACTAGCGCTTCAACCACAAGTAAGTCTTCTTGCCTTGAGTCAGTCTGCACACCACTCTCGTCCTTGTACTCTCAAATGCTGAACCCTCCCGCATTCTCCATTAACTAAAGTCAAAGTTACTTTACGACAGGCGGTTTACGGCCAATCAGTTCGTCTTGCCTCAGGCCCCTTGAGGTCCACGACCAGAGATTTTTTCTTTTTCCAACTGAACTCTTGCGGTAATAGTCCTTATGTAACATCCTCTCTGACGAGAAGATGGGCTTGTCTCTTATGAATATGCTTGGCCTTTCCTCAAGTGTATATTTCCCACATATGACATGTTATTGGAAGCTCTTCCTTTTCCACTACACACAAGTCCTCTGTCAGCACAGGCTTTGTAGAGTATATCATGCCTAACTTACATATCTTATGCTACAACGAAAACTAAGTCATTTGAACGGTCGTAAGCTTGACCACCGCCAACTTTAGGCCTCTTATAATTTCTGTATCTGGCTTCACCTTGTCCTATACCGCGAACATGTTCGTTCTCATGATTTTGTGACTCCTGTTTGTTGCCTGCACAATTTTGTTATATAATCGTATACACAGGGAAAGTTGAAAGCTGTGTGCAAGACGCGGACTGGTGTGCGCTTTGGAAAATTTTCAATGGTGCGCAATACCTTGTTTTGCATGCGCTGCAATTTTGGAAGGTAGGTGTCTACTGCTAATTCCAAGGCGGGACAAGCGTAAGTCATTACTGTTCTGATCAGTGCCTTATAGAGGTTTAGTTTAATGTCTCCGCTTAAACGCTCACTTTTGAATAGGAAGTAGATTCTATTAAATGTTCTGAAGGCCTTGGGTTCAATCATTTCTATGTGATGCCTCCACGTAATCCTCTTATCGAAGATTACACCTAGATATTTTGCACGATTGACAAAGGGGATATTCTGCCCATTCAATGTAAGATGAGCCTCGGGGGGCCTTGTCTATGAGGAAAGTAGATTGCCTGAGTTTTATCTTCATTGATCTTTATGTTCTAGCGCTCACATCACGTCTCAATAGCACTGAGACCTCGCTGCAGCTTTCTGAGAACATAACCCTTTTTGTGGTCTGTGTCATACATTAACTCAAGCTTAAACAGGTCTTCGTTATATAGGCGCCGCATGTACAACAAAGAAAGCGTGTCACGTGATAGTTAGTACTGTTCGAGTGTGACGTCACTGTGTCTGCATGGAAGTGTTTACCGTGCCATCTGCGAGCCGATTAACTAGAAAATGTCGGAGCCTCGATGTTTCACAGCCCTATGGGCCTGTTACAGAGATAACTTTACTTTTACCTCCCCAACTTCTCACCTGAGAATAGAAACAAATTCAGTTTCCGAAAATTTATGTTCTACTCGGAATATCGGAAACTGAGCAAAGTTCGGACACTCAGAAAAACAATACGCAATATACCACCGTCAGGACCCTTTATAATTGATTGATTCATTCATTCTTTCATATTCCTATTCCTCCTACTTGGAGCACAGGGCATCTGTGATAAGCTTCGTTTCACTTCAGTTTCTTAATCTTTAGCCAGTCGGTATGACGCCTTGGACGGGGGATCAGACCGTCGCAAGGCCGCTACTTGCACAGGACACCACAAACAGAATAAACGCACACAGACATACATCCCTCAAGTGGGATTCGAACCAGCGACACCAATGTTCGAGAGTGCGAAGACAGTTCATGCCTCAGACTGCCCGGCCACTGTGATCGGCTTGTAATTGATAACAGAAGCGATTTTACAATAAAAATTTTGAAACAAATATATCTAAAACCGCCGTCGGTATAGCGACTGGTTATGGGATAGACGCCTGAGGGATCGGAGTTTGAGTCGTGGTATGGGCACATCGTCCAGACCGGTTCTGGGGTCTTCTGTCCATTGGGTACCGGAGGCTCTTTCCCCGGAGGTGTAAAGCGTCAGGGACGTGAAGCTAACAACTAACCTCCAATGAGGGCCGAGGCCAAGAATCTATACATCCATTGCCGCATTAATCACAGGGACAAATTTACATTTTTGTACTTTGTATATCTAATGTTACTTATGTAGTAACAGGCTGATGCTTAAAAATACGACATGCGCCAGTCTTCCACACATACGCTCGCCAATCTGCGGCTCAACGCACGCTACACAACCGTATTGGGCTTTACAGCTATTACGTCATGGTGACAATTGTGACGGCAGAGGTGGAAATGACTTTTCAGAATTGGGTAGACGCTCCACTTTACCACTGCAGATCGGAAGTAAAGCTCCGTGGGATGATCTAGAGATTTCGAAAAGAAGTTTTTGTAATGCAGAATCGTGAATTTATTTGTAATGTATAATTTTTCGGAACGGTAGGAATAACGTCTTAAGGCATTGAAAATAACTTTATAATGAAGCCCTTTGGAACTAGGTAGACGGTGTCTATCTGGGTCAACCCCCACTTCCGGCCCTGCTCAGCAGCGAATAACAACGGAGGGTCTGAAATTCCAGGGCGTACCTGAGCGCTGTTATAAAGGAGTATATCTGCATGCTGAAGGTAACCTGCTCTTTTATCAGTGTATTTCCAGCTTCGACACGTAATATCAGATGAATTATTTCTGAATTCTAGCTAGTAATATATTAGAAAAAATTTAAATTTTTATTGGGATTACGTGAATATTAGTGACATTTTAACGGTAAGCAAAAACAAAAAGGTATAAAACTGAGAAAAAAAAAGACGCCTTGGAGCATAACCAGACGTGCGTGTCAAGTAACTAAATGAAGGTTATTACACGATAATAAACACTGCAACTTGTACAGTCACACCAGTAACTGAACGTAAAAGTTTGTTATTATTATTATTAGTGGGGTTAGACTTGGTACTACGGCCACTACTTGCCTATTGTACCAGCCCCAGATGACAGATGATGGTGACTGTAGAGCATTGGATGGGGAAACCGAAGTTCTCGGAGAAAACCTGCCCCAGCGTCACTTTGTCCACCATAAATCCCACATGATCTGACTCGGGCTCGAACCCGGGCCGCCGCGGTAGGAAGCCGGAGACTAACCGCCTGAGCTATGGTACGGCCACATGTAAAATTTTACACTAAGCTACACACACAGACAGAAGCGGGGTGGCACAGAATCAAATATCTGGAAGATACAGAGAATGATTTACAAGAGCAGAAAGTGAAGTGGTGGAGACAAAAGGCAAATACGAGGACATGCTGGGTCTCCTGTTGTTTCCACAATGGAAATAGATATTTTATTTAGACAGTAAGAATTTCTGAGCACTAATCGACTACTTCCCTTGATACGACACGGACCGCACATAGAACGAAGCGTCCAACATTTCTTCTATTGTTGCGTATTCGTTGTCGCGGTAACGTTTCCATCGAGGTGTTGCTTGGCAACGATAGGGGGATACAGATACATACACACAGATTGATGCGATGGATTTAAGTAGTACGCCGTTCAGATGGGCTAAGGTGCCATGATATACATATCAAGTTTCATAGAGATTGGTCAGGAATTCAAAAGTTAGTAAGGGGATTCACAGACACACGAAAATACAGTATAAATAGGCAGACATACAGACAGCACTGAGATCGCATGAACCTACTTGAGGAAAGTAGGCTAAAAATATGCAATTTTCTTAAACTTTATTCCGTAATTTCACACAATTATTTCTCAACACAACCAACTCTATTGTCCACACCATTTCTGGCAATGTTCGGATGGTTTCGTGAGCCCGCCACAATGCAATTCTGTGTCTTGTCGACGTCGTCTTCACCGCTTTCTCGGCTTTATCGTCTGGCAAGAACCGCTGATGATTGTAATGGTCGTGGTGAGATGTTCCTGCTGACGGAGGTGATGATAGTGGCGAGAACGGTCGTTGCGATTGTGATTAATAGTCGTGGTAAAAGTGGTGGTGATGATGATGATGATATTCGTTAAAGGTTACGACAGCAGAGTCGAATTGTCGGGTTCTTTAACCACGGGGTTAAAAAAGTTTACTTCAGTGACTGTTCTGTAATAAATTCACTGGTGACTGCTAGAGCCGCCTGAATCGTTCTTTCGTCTGTATGAACATAACAGATCAGATCTGGTTCCATGTAATTTAAATGCAATTTATGTGAAGAAAATACATTAACAGAGGAAAAGTTTTGGCGCATTCGCAACGACAATTTTCAAAACAGATCGAGAACCGTTCAATGAATTTCTACAAAATTTGGTATGTGTTAATTTTTACTGCAATTTGAAAGCACCGAAAGACGACGTATTGCACATGAGTCAGCTGTGCTGATCACTTGACAGTCTGCCACCCTGAGCTAACCCAGAAGTCATTCTATTAATGCCCTTACCTTATTTTCAAAAAACTAAAGTAAGCTTGTGAGATCATCTTGCTGTCTGCGTGTCTGTATGTGTACCCCCACAACAAAACTTTTGAATGAAGAGTACTATCTTCTGGCATTTAACGCCGTCTACTCCACTGAAATTCAATTGACGTTTCGGAGGAACATATCACCTCAATCTTCAAGGTCGAATAAGCTGAGCAAGATACCAGCTGGCTGGCCTAAGAATTCGGATTATATGACACCGGGTTGAAGCAGCACCAGCGACATATCCGTTTAGAACACCCCGGTATCCATTGGATAGGAGGTTGGGTGAAACCCAGAGCTGGTCTGGACGATATGGAGAAATGAAAATTCTTGACCTTACCGGGATTCGAACTCCAACCCCTCGGTCATCTGCAACACTGTAAGCATCGTAAAATAACCCTTCATCCCCAAAAAGAAGATAGAGGCATTAACCCATATCATACTGAATGACAAAAATAACAATTTTAGCAAGATAACAGAACAGACGAGATCAGTTGGAAGGAACAAGCCTGGATAGAAGATAATACTAAAATAGATCTATAAACAAATGATATTATGCCGTGGTGACAGGGGGGGCTCAAGTAAATTTACAACCACTGACGTAGCTGCTGCCTTGGCTTGAGTTTGCAATTCTCCTAAAGGATTCGGGAGATGCAGGAGCATTCAGGGAGGATGGTAACACTTGAGGGAAGGCTAAGTTCAATTAACATCACAGCGCATTTCTATCCTACTCTATTCACCTATGTCGCTATATACATAATATATACACACTTGCCGACGTTTGCCGGTTCGCATTAGATGTGGGTTATTATCCTGTAGTACACCTTAGTTCTACTCCTGTCACCCTGCTATTGGGTATCCTATACCTCTGTCTCTCTTTCTCTGTAAACCTACTCCATCTAGTTTTCACTTTCTCTCCCTGAGGTTTGCACTTTAATATTATCACACTTAATGTTCATGGCTTATATGAAGTAAGTCCACTTACTTGAGCTGATGAGACAGGCACTCGCCACCAACCAGTATCTACTTATCGCCATCTTTCTCTCGGCGATAGCCTACGGCCGCACTCTAATGACAATTAATAATCTTTTCTTTCATCGATTCCTCTAGAGTTTATGTACCCTCTTTTTGCTGACTCGCTGGGTTCTGGGGGTGTATTCACCCGCCCATCCTGACGTGATTTTGGGTCGGTGTGGCTCACTCATTGGCTGTTTATTGAAAGGAGGTTGGTTCTTTCAGGTCTACCACCCTCTCTGACTCAGCGATTTCCTAATGCCCTAGTTCTTTATGTCCCACTTCGCATAGCCTCTTCCTCAATGTCAGCGTTATTACACTGTCGTGCTAACATCTGATTACAAAGCTATTGCTTCACTACTGGCGTTATACTTCTTTGCAAACTCCCGCTTCCTGGCACATTTCGTTATTTCCATTTCTTAATCTTAAAGTCTAGATACACTTATTCCAAATTACCCCCCAAAAAACATATCTACTTGTACATAACCTTTGGGGCCTAACAAATGATGTACACCAAATTCCTCTGTCAGGATAGGAACAGGTGACAGGCTCTTCAATAATACAATAACAAAATTTCAGGTTCCATTTAAGAACAAGAATTACTTCAATTGCTCAGAAACTGCTTGAGAAGGAATCTTTCCCAATGAGTTAATTTATGCATGTCTGTATATATGTAAAACACTGACAAATTCTGAACAGAGCGATAAAAGCCAGAACACTGTATGTTTTGTCTGGCAGCCTACAGTTTTATAGTGCCATCATATGCATACATCCATCTATGTGTCTATCCCCTCTAATAACATTTGAAGTAACTGACAGATTTTCACAAAACTCTGTGCAAGCATCAGAGCATCAGGCCTAACTATATGCTACAGGTCTCAGTTGAATCTTCTTTTATCTGTGTCTCTTCCTTACTAATTGTCTTACAAACATATAAGACTTGAGGTGACTGGTGGTGAATGCTAAGATTACTCATATACCGTATTTACGCATGTATAGGCCGCACATTTTTTGCCAGAAATTCAAGAGGAAAACTGGGGTGCGGCTTATATTCGAAATATTCGAAATCACACTTCATTTAAAAAAAAATTATATTCGGAATATTTCGGAATAATTTCTACTCCTGAAATAACATTCCAAGAAAATTATTTTTTCTATAATTTGTCTGAAAATTGTGCTGCGGCCTATACACGCACACGGCCTATACATGCGTAAATACGGTAGTCCTCTAGGATGTGATGCTGTAAAATCTGAGCTTTACATTTCAGAGGAAACTGCAGTCACTATTCAGGGTACAAAATGATGTCTGTATGAATAAGTAGTTACAGAATGGTGAGGACGAACGGTCCCAGAGGACTAGATTGATAGGGAAGGACCAGTGCTGCATTTGTGAATCATCCAAGTGGACATCCTCTCTATATTACTGTAACTACCTTAAGAGAAATACTTTATTTAATATTTGACAGAGCATAATGGTAGAGGAATGGTGCCATATATATATATATATATATAATAACGTTAGTATATTAAGGTAAAGGTAAAAGTGTCCTTGTGCTTAACTAATTAAGCACTATGCCTTTAAGGCGTATGGAGGACTGGATGTACAGATCCACATTTTCTTGACCTCGGCACTAGCTGGAGGTGAGTGGTCAGCTTCACGTCCCTGCCGCTTTAACCCCAAGGAAAGAGATCCCGGTACCCATTAGATACAAGGTTGGATGGACCCCAGAGCTGGTCTGGATGACATGGAGAAATGAAAATCCTTGCCCACACCAGGACTTGAAATCTGACCCCTTGGTCGTCCAGCCCATAGCCAGTTGTTATACTGGCTACACTATCCCAGCTCTTAATATTTGTATATTGCGGAAAAATGAAAACATCTTAGTGGAAACTTTTTAATTTTAAAAGTGTTATGGTACACTAAGAAACATGTACAATCCACCCAGTATGTTAGACAACAGGAAATCAATTTTAGGATCTTGTTTTGAAAATATTTGTTTGACATACATAAATTGTGTCCATGAAACAATGCAGTACATAAGATGGATCATCATTATGAATAAAAATCCATTTTCCTTCTATGGAATTCAATGTTATTTCATATGGAAATACATACTTTGCTAATGTTGCTAATCGCCTTACTTGCAGAATAAGCACATGTGCAAGTCATTTGCTGTATCTGAGCATTACTGGAACTGATTGCTTCTTTGTGGAAAATGATTCCAATGACCACCAACAAACAACAAAACTGAACTGTGGGGTCACTACTGAACTTCAAGCATCTTCACCCAAATGTCTACGTGGTATTTCATGACAGTGTTATATTCTGTTTTCCTACTACAGTGGCATTCCATACCAGAAATGTGCTGCATATACGCCACATTTCCTCTACAGCTGCATTTAAGAGATCACATATGATCAAAACTAATCACGTTTCCTGTACTTCTAACTACTAGCACGATGAAAACCAGAAATATAAGAAAAACATATGAGCTACTCAAGACAAGCTGGACTTACCAGACACAGGAGTACTTCAACAACAGCACACTGCATGGCGTGCAGTACATCAGAGAGGAGGGCAGGCCATTCTATGAAAAGTAAGTCACTACATTAAAAGTTTAAAACACTGAAAATGTTAATATACCATAGCATGAAATTGTAATGGCAGACAACAGGAACAGAATGCTCTCCTTGTAATGAAGGGACAAATTTCTGTCATGGTAGAGACTTATGTTTTAGTTTGCTTACTGTAGATCACTTGCTCTCAAAATTTGTGCTGTAACAACTCAAGAAAAATGTAAAGGAATGGCTCCACTGCCCATTGTGGTCCTCAGGCTTTGTGTGGAGGAACAGCTCCTTGTTCCTTCTGTTTTTTNAACTATAATTATAGTTCTAGTTTAAATATTTGCATTGATTTATTTTGGGGTACTTCGAAACCTTCCGGAGTTTTCTGTATGATAGCTCCTCCTCAGCCTCTGACAGTACATTGATATTGCCCTAACTCTGCTTCTTTACCCCTGGGGAAAGAACCCCCTGTACCCACTAGACAGATTTCTGGGTGGGCCTCAGAGCTGGTGTGGCTGCGGTGGCAAAGCAATAAATCTTCATCCCTTCTGGGAATCAAATCTCAATTCTCCAATCATTCAGTGAGTAGCATAGTCACTATACTGACAGAGCTACTTGTTCCCTGCTGTAATGAGGCCTAGAACAAATTGGTTAAACATATATAGGCTGCAGGTACACATCGATTAAAATGTGGCAATATATGAAAGTAGATAAAACAATAATAAAATTGGTTGGGGTCAAACCAATTTTACAAATACCTGAGTACAATATAACAGTGTGGCATACAGGCCTGTTGCTAAGTGGTGACTCTGTAAATATGGCTGTTTCTGGGCAAGGGCTTAGTTATTTACGAGTTGTGTGTATAAGTGGTCAATAAATCGAGTCACTAATCCAAACCCCATCAACAGTCACTCATACACATGACAATAAGACTTATTCCATTACAAGGGATCATCTTTTTTGATGATTTCAAAGAGTTTTTTGAGCATTTTGATCAATTTTTTATAGATAGGGATCCAAGTGTTAATAGAGAGGTAGTGCTGCTTGGGTCTGGATTTATTATAGACAAAAGTGGAACTATCGTAACTAATTATCACGTTACTAAAAACGCTCAAGATATCACAGTTACTATGAACGACAATACTCATTTCAAAGCAGAAGTTTTAGGCTATGACGCAAAAACTGATCTTGCTGTGCTTCAGATCAAAGATGATAAAGATCTTTCTTTTGTAACATTTGGTGATTTTGATAAAGCAAGGGTTGGTGATATGGTCATGGCAACAGGCAATCCATTTGGGTTGGGTAGCTCTGTAAGTACAGGAATTAACTTGGCGTTATCTATTAACTCACCTTCCATGAAGCTTATAAGAGTGTTAGATTATTATAGTTCTAAAAAATAAATTTGTTAAGTAAGGTGGTAGTATGAGTAATGTAACAAACGATTTGGTTGATAAAATATTATCTTTAAATCTATTAGAGGCTTCTGAACTTGTATAGAAGAAAAGATAGGACTACCCACTGGTTCTTTTGTTGGTGGAGCTGTCCTCCATAGTGCAACACGTCACACTATGATAGTGTGTTTATTATCTGCTATGCTTAATGCCTATTCCTTCTGTTTTTGCATATACATCTTTCTGGGTTAAGCTGATTAAGCTTTAGGTTTTGTATTAGTATTGCTTTATTTTGTGGGGCTTGGAAATTTTCTGGTTTTTTGTATGATATAACAGCAACTGTCCAAATTACAAGATTTCTCCAATGTTTTTATGTAACATATTTGCTACTTCATACAAATTCTTCTGTTCAACTCAACACCACACATTTTCACACTGCCACTTCATGTCTTTTATTCTCTTAGTAAGTGAAATCTAAATTATATCTCAAGTATTTTTTCCTCTGTTTTGGGATTTAGTAAAGCTTCTGGAGGTTTGGTTTGAGAGTGGTTGGAGTCAACAGATGAAGCATAAAGTATATCAGAGATCAATGTGCTGATGTAATGTGTGCTTGAAGATTTGTATTTTATTTTCAACCATTTTGCTATATAATAACACTTGGACAAGTCATTTGGCAATACAAGTTAACAAAATAAATCTACAAAGTTACAAGCATACTACCAACATTTGTTACAATCATAAGCAATAAATAAATACAACATTAAAAAAAATATACAAGCTACTATATACAGCTCATGAATGGCTATGACATCCAAACATAAGTACTTGCACCATCCTTTGTTTTATTAAAACTAACAAATTCATTTATCGTATAAAAATGTTTCAATAAAAAGGATTTTAAGTCTTTTTAAAAGCTGAAAACCCATAGAGTTTTTTATTTTGTTTGGTACCTTACTATACAATTCTATCCCCATTTTTACCACACTTTTTTTAAATAATGTACTTCTGCAGAATTGAACATGAAAATCCTTGTTTATTCTTGTATTATAACTATGAATATTTATATTTTGGATCAAATCTTCTTGGTGCTTTTTTATGTAACATAACACATCTAAGATATACAAAGAAGCGACAGTGAGGATGCCATAATCTTTACAAATTTGCATGCATGACTCTTGTTTACCAAGCCCACTAATTATTCACAACACTCTCTTCTGCATTTTAAATACCTTTATACTATCACCTTCACCCCCCCCCAAAAAAAAATATTATTCCATATCTCAATAACGATTGAAACTTTCCAAAATAAATGCTTCTTAACTTATCTGGACTCAAAACTCCTCTTAGTGATTTAATTATATAAGATGTTTTACTAAGCTTTGAACATAATGACTGGATGTGGGTATTCCATTTAAGGTTTTCTATAATGTCTATACCTAAAAATCTCAGTTCCGATGAGTACGCAATTTCCAATTTATTATAGAGTATCTGCAGTCTAACTACAAACCTATTGTTACTAAGATGGAATGACATGGCAAATGTTTTTTTTAATATTTATTAAAAGGTTATTTACCTGAAACCATGTTTCAAGCTGTTTCATGATCATATTTACTTTCTGTTGAGCTACATCTCTATCTTTATCAGTAACAAGTACATTATATTGTCTGCAAACAATACCATTTAAGCACCTTGTACAATTGGTGGGAGATCATTTATATAAAGAAGAAACAGTAGTAATCCCAGAACTGACCCCTGTGGTACTTCCATGATTGATTGGCGTAGTGGAATGTGTCATAAGTCAGGATTGGTGCACTGGCATGGTTTGGTGTATGTCTGAAGGTAACTGAGTGTGTCTTAAACACACACTATTATCTTCAAGCATATGCATTAAATCACTTTTTCAAGCACTTAGTATTATATCAGCACATCAATCTAACTGACCACTTGAGGCCGAAACATGTAGTGAGTTATAATAACATACAAAGCAATAACCTTTCTCAGTATAAGTTTGGTGAGTTATCTTATGACCTACTGGAGAAATTAATTTGATCAAAAAGCCTTAGTGTTGTGTAGTGTAGTGTAGTGTCGTGGAAGACCAAAGTTTGATTTCTGGCAGGGGCAGGAATTTTTCCCAATTACACCTCATCCAGGTCAAATTTAGGGCCCACCAGCCTCTTTCTCAATTGGTATTAGAGGAACTTTCTTCACAGACAAAACAACATGGACATTAAGAATACCCCTAACTTCCGATGAGTGCTAAGGTTAAGTATGTATGGAGCTGTGCCTTGACTTCACCATGTCATAGTGATTGGCTTACTTAAAACATACACAAAAGTTTAGCTCATCTTCACCATGAGACCAGGTGCTGCTTTGTATCAAGCCGGCTAGTTGGTTCAAGTGCTAAGGTGCCCAGTTCGAATCTCAGTCTGGCCACTGGGTATCCTGCCTGAGGTTTCTGTGGCTTTCTTCAGTTCTGCTATGTAACTTCCTGCGTAATACCTCAAATTAGGCCACAACCACTTCTTTTAACACCCTTTCTAATTCATTATTCACTAATCATCCTACCATTTAATGCTATAAAATCAGAGCTGTGACAACTTTGTTAAACAAACCATAAACAACTCACTTGTGTCAACAATATTGCAGCGACTCAGTAAGCTGTTTGTTTGCTGTTTTAGGTTCATGTGGTTCTGCTTCACATCAGTTGGAGGAGTCGTGAGTCTGATCATCATAGCTTCACTGTGGGAAAAATTCCAGACAAACCCAACAATCACAGGTCTTGACACGGACTTTCACAACTGGGATGTACCATTTCCTACAGTGTCACTGTGCCCCAATGATCCAGTTAACAACACTGCAATCACAGAATACATAGAACAGTAAATATACATACATTATGATTAATTTTTTAATAATATCTGGAAAAACATTTCACTGTAATACATTCTAACACTGGAAGTTTTAATTTCCCACTGTTGACAATATTTACATGCCACATAAAGAAATGCAAATTAGAAGGAGTCTCCCACATTGAAATATTTCTTAATTATTCAATTCAATTCAATTTATTTAAACATTCCGTTGATCCTTTGTGGTACAATAATGACCAGTAGATGTGGAATTAGTCACAGACAAAACCAGACAAGTTGCATCACATTAACAAGATACAATTATAAATACACCAATAATTCATCTCCACAATACAGTATCTCAAATATTGGTCTAATATCTAAAAGCAGATTACTTAGTGGGACATTACATCAATTATTACTTACAAACAATACCCAGACAACAACCAGGTCATAGATGCCTGCATACTTAATACCCAGGACACAGATGGAACAACTTGTGTACATCGTATGACAGCTATATGTTTAAAATGTTAAAACTAATGTTCTGATAGTACTAAGATGTGATGAATATACGTGGTGCAATCCAAAAGTTCCCAAAATATATTAATAAAAACTATTACTTCTTACCTAGATCTTATTCTGTACCATCACCTTTAAAGTAGTCCCCTTGGGAGCGCATACACCGATCCCAGCGTTTCTGCCACTTTTCAAATCCATCCTGGAAGTCTTTCGTTGTTAGGGCATTTAGTACCATCTGTGTTTCCGCTTGAATTTCCTCAACTGTATCAAATCTTCACCCCTTCAACTTGATTTTCATCTTGGGGAAGAGAAAGAAGTCACATGGAGCTAAGTCGCATGAAGCTAAGTATGGTGGGTGGGGAACAGCTGCCATCTCGTTTTTAGCCAAAAATCCCTGCACAATATAAGCCGTATGCGGTCGTGCGTTGTCATGGTGGAGTACCCAGTCGTTCGTGTGCCACCTCTCTGGACGTTTTCTCCTCATGTCCTCCCTCAAACGCCTTAGAACATCGCGATAGTACTCTTTATTGACTGTTTGACCAGGAGGGACGAACTCCTTATGAACAATCCCGTCAATATAAAAAAAAAACAGATCAACATGGACTTAATGTTGCTCTTGACTTGTCGAGCTTTTTTTGGCCGAGGTGAAGAAGGGCTCTTCCATTGCGACGATTGCTGCTTGCTTTCAGGGTCGTAGCCATAAACCCAACTTTCATCACCAGTGACAACCTTCAAAAGAAAGTCTGGATCCTCTTGAAGCTGTTGCTGAAGTTCCCTGCAGACTTCCAAGCGATGCTGCTTCTGTTCATTTTGCAGCAGTCGTGGCACAAACTTCGCCGCAATCCTCCTCACGTTCAGTTCCTCTGGCAAAATTCGTTGACATGTACCATAACTTAGTCCCAAGGTGTTACAGAGGTCTTGGATGGTCAGTCTACGATCTTGCAGAATCAGATCCCTAACTTTTGTGACATTTTCTGGTGTTTTGCCCGTTGACGGCCATCCCGAACGATCGTCATCATCAGTCAATGTTCGGCCATTTTTAAAACGCTTATACCAGTTGTAAGTTTGTGTATGGCCTAAACTGTTTTCACAAAAAGCTTGCTTCAACATTTGGTGCGTTTCTGCAGCGGTTTTCCCAAGTTTGAAACAAAATTTTATACAGACAAGCTGCTCTCAGGTCAGCCATTGCAAAACCGCAAACTCACAGAAACACAACAATGGAAATACGTTCACCAAAAATAAACCCGACCACTCAACTCGACGCCACTTGCCACACTGATTCAAGAAGGATGTGTGAGGAGACACCTAGCGGTATTTCAATGTGCTCACAAGCATTCGCGTGCAAAATTCAAATTTTGATAACTTTTGGATTGCCCCACGTATATGAGCAGATTATAAGTATCATAAAAGAGTTCACTTAGTAGGGAGTATAACCCAGGAGTTTAATTTACTTTACAGTTAAAATATTCATCCAAGGAATAAATAAATTTGGAAAGAAGAAACCTTTTTAGCATCGGTTTGAATAGTTTCATTTCATTACTCAGACTTTTTATATGAGGTGGAAGATGATTATAAGCTCTGATACCAGAGTAGAAGGGTCCTTTTTGGAAAACTGTCAAACATGACGCAAAATGGTGCAAGTTTGTGCTATGTCTAGTACTGAAGCTATGAATCTCATGATTCGATTTATACAGATCTTTACTTTTTATGACAAATAGTATTATCAAGTATATATATTGTGAAAAGAGTGGCAATATATTTAATTTTTTAAATAGATACCTACAGGAGTCTCTAGTTTTTGCATTCATAATAAGTCTAATTATCTGCTTTTGTATCCTAAAGACATTGATACTGTTAGACGTATTACCCCAGAAAATTATACCGTATTCCATGTAGAATGCAAATAGGAGAAATAAATCATCTTATGGGATTCTTGTGACATAAAAATTTTGCTGTCCTAATAGCATAAAAAGCTGAACTTATTTTAGTTACTAGCTGGTCAATATGAAGTTTCCATGATAATGTTTCGTCGATGTGTAAATCAAGAAACTTAATATTTGACGTGTTAGTAACAAGCTTGTTTCCAGAGCATATACTGATACTGGCTTCTAAACTATTTTTTGTCCTGAATAAAAGGTAATGAGTTTTTTTTTTAAATTTAAAGATAACAAATTCGCTTTAAACCATTCATTTATGGCTACAAATTGTTTATTTATATTAGTTTCAAATTCCAGAAGGCTAGGATTAGACATTATGACACTTGTATCGTCAGCATATAGGATAATTTTTGCATTGTTAGTTATTACGTTAGAAGCTCATTTACATACAATAGGAAAAATAATGGACCAAGGATAGAGCCTTGTGGAACACCATGCTTTATGATCTCCCACTTGGAGGAGGTACTATTATGAGTTTTCCTGTTATCTAATACCACTTTCTGATATCCATTGTTTAGGTATGATGTAATTAATGCTTCAAATGTTCCTACGATCCCGCAGTCTTCCAATTTTTTAAAAGTATATCATGGTTGACACAGTCGAACGCTTTCTCTAGGTCACAAAATATACCACCGACGGTAAATTTATTATTCATGGCTAATAAGATTTCATTCCTATCCTATGGTATACATGGAGAAAATTATTTAAACCCTTACATAAACTAATTAACTAACTTCATGGAGCGGGGCCCTTCTTGAGAAGCTGGAAGTTGTGTGGCTATTCAAGAACTTCCGAGTATTTTATGGAACACGAACGTTCATTACCATGTTCATAAGAGCCCTATAATGGCCCCTATCTTCAGCCAGATCAATCCAGTCCACACCACCCCATCTTATCTCTCTAAGACCCATTTTAGGCCAAGCCATAGCTCAAGCGGTTAGTTGCTGGCTTCTCACCGTGGCAGTCCGGGTTAGATCCCGGGTCTGGTCAAGTGGGATTTATGGTGGACAAAGTGGGGCTGGCGAAGGTTTTCTCCAAGCACTTCAGTTCCCCTGCCAATCTTCATTTCACCAACTGCTCTACAATCACCCTCACCTATCATCTGGGGCTGGTACAATAGGCCAGAAGTGGCCGCAGTACAAGGAACTGGTCCCACACCACTAGCATTAAGGAAAAATGAAGACCCATTTTAATATTTTCCACCCATCTATGTCTTGGGGTCCCTAGTTGTCTCCTTCCTTCCTTACATAGACTAGGATTTATTATGGAAATTGGACTTTTGTAACAAAGTTTGGTGGAAGCCTACCATATTGAACTTCAATAAAATCTGTATAGAAAATTCAAAGTCCACTTATGGTATTACATAAATGAACATTATTATGAATCTATATAAATATATATTGCTGAAAATCAGAATGGCAAATAACTTTTATTGAAAATCTGCCATATTGAATTTTAAGGAAATCTGTCCAATGGTTCAGGCCCTGAGAGTAGGTTACAGACAGACAGATGAACATCATGAATTTGTTTTCACTTTGTAAAGAACGCCCAATAATCATGTGAAGTTGCAAATCTGAAGTGCAACGAACACATGCACTGTTGAATGGCTGGTTCATAAATGTTTTGCAACATTAGATATCTGAAACTTCTGTTAACAGTTCTACAGCACACTTCATGAACAATGGAGAACAACAACCTGGTGATGACATAGAAGCAAGTCTTTCACTCTGAGTTTTAACTAAGTATATGAAAATTGGCACCATGATAAGTGGGCCCCTTTTCCCCTTAACAAAGTCTGTCCGGAGACTATGGGTGGAGAACACAGACTTCAATATTGGGGAGAAGGGGGTAAATTTGGCCATGTTTGATTAATTAAGCTTTATGCATAGAAGACATATTGGGGTGTGGAGGTATAGCTCCATGATTCTTGACCTCTGCACTAGATGAAGCTGAATGGTCACCTTCAAGCCCCAGCCACTTTAACCCAAGGAAATCGCCCACAGGACCAATTGGTTAGGATTAGTTAGCCCAGAGCTGGTCTGGACTCTGTGGAGAAGAGAAACATGTTGTACCTGCCATGAATTGAAGCCCAACCTTCCAGCCCCATAGCCTGTCACTATACTAATAGCTATCCTGACTCCTACATATGGATAGAAGCTGCAGACATTTTGAACAGCCAATCACAGACAGCTGATAAGGAGTGGTCCTGAAGCCTAGAACTTGGACAGTAGACTAATAACTTCAACATAAATATGGCACAGAACATCACACTTGGACAGATTCTTTGGAACAATTGAAGCTGTGGAAAAGAAAATACATGGATTTTTTAACTACGAATTTTTGCAGGATGTACATGTCAGGTTCATTGAAAACAGGAACAAGAGAATTAGTAGAATATAAGTTAGAGTTACTTGGAATATAAGAGGACAGATGGGAAAAGGGTAAGACTAAACTATTCCACACCACCAAAAATGTAAAGCTATCCCTGTAACAGGCCATGGAGGCCCATTTTGTTGTGAAATGTCGAGGCTCCCACATTTTCTAGTCAATTAGCTCACACATGGTGGTGAGGCTGTCTGCCTTATGCACTGGCCAGCTGCTCTTTAACCCCAGGAAGATTCCTGGTACTTATTTCTGTAGGAGGATGATTCAACCCCAGGGCCACTGTGCAGCTGGAAGGATTAAGTCAAATGAGAAATTCAATGACTTCATCAAGAACTGAACCTGTGACCTTCCAGCTTGTAGCATAATGCCTCAACTAACTGCATTACCACATGCCCCCTGCACTGAGGCAGCAGACTACATAAATATTTCTATGGAACAATAAATTGTTTTCATGGGCCCTTCATACAAATGGGAAGAGAGCAGCAGTTAAGCGGGTAGACTCTGTCAGCAGAAGGGCATCATGTCTACTGCTGTATTAAGAATCCATTACTGTGTTATTGTTCCAATGTGTATGGTCCAACTGAGGATAAAAGTTATGATTCAAGATATAGACTATCTGTAGAAATGGAACATAGAGTCAATCAAACAAATATGTGTCATACTAACATTCTGTTACAATTCAATACAAATGTAGGAAGAGAAGATATTTTTAAACTGACAATTAGAAATGAGAGTTTACACGAAATTAAACATGTTATAGCAAAGTTTGTACAGTCGACAAGCAGCGGTCGCTCGGTGGGTATAGTTCGCTTCCAGACTAAAACCACGGACTTTCTTTTGTTTTGTTTTTGTACAGTTAACTTGGTTATGTCCAAAAAGAAATGTAAAATCTATAAAATTCCAGTGCTGCAACATTCACATATGCACTTGGGTTTCTGATGGAAAGACACGAGACACTAGTTAGGAACAAATATTTACTGCCAACATGAACATGAGTTAAATGAAAAGAAAACTGAAAGAAAGTGACATACAGATAAATGCAATAAATATGATGTGGGAAAGTGAAGTGTGACATTTTATAAGCATGTATTAACATATGTACATAGAGAGAAGACTGATGACATTAAATTTAGGTATAAATTTGTTGCTACATTATTTGTGCATTAATCTTGTTTCGTCTGGTCTGCAGGACTTGGCCAAATGCTCCGGGTGAAAGGAAATCTGTTTATAAGGAATTTATTACAGAACTGGCAAACAACTGCTATAATAACCTCAAACAGTTTCTGATGTTTGAAGGTAATAAGGCTGGCAATTTACCAAGTGTAAATTATCACGATATCATTGAAAAGGTAACTGAAACCAGAAAAATAATTATAAGTAAGGATGAACAGGAAATTTAGTCAATGAAAATGAAGTTATAAATGAAGACTGTGACTGTGCATCAATCTCATATAAAGTTCTAGATTACATCCTACTTCCAAGGTTGACCAATACACAGACAAAATTATTGGGTAACATCAGTGGGGATTCTGACATAACAGATCAACCACTTATCAGACATTTTGGATTTGTCAGTATTGAAGGGAAAACATAGGGAAAACAGGGCAGTACATCAACTATTTATAGATCTCAAAAGTCTATGACTCTATTAAGAATACAACATTCTCATTAAAATCAATCCAGTTAACTGAAACCTATTCAAACGAAACACAGTAAAGTCTGCATAGATAAGCAGATGACTGATGTTGGATTTGAGGTTATTACAGCACTGACTACAAAGAGTACAGTCATCAGTTGTAATGCTGTGTAGTTCAGAGGAAGCCCAGTGCTTCAGGAGAAAATGTGACCCACATTTTCATGGTTGAAAAAAAAAAGCCAAGGAAGAAACCAGTAGGAGAAAAGCAGGTGGAAAGCTCAGCTTTCTTCCTCCAAACAATGCAACACTATATCCCTAAAGACTGTACTATCCAAATGACTTATGCATTTCCCATTCTGAATGATCTTAATTAAGCAAAGAAATGTTATTGACAACACTGCTACAGCATATTCCATAAGGAGAGTGAAAGAAATTCAGGTTAATTTATTAACCTGAACATATGCCTCATACAAAAAATAACATAAACTAATACAAAGTATGTTCTAGAAATAAACAGATAAAGAATTAAGTCCCATCACCAGAACTTTGTGCAATATGATAACATGATACGAGTATGGAAATGTTAAAATTTTCAGGAACATCAGTAACAAATTAAAACTATATTCATGGCAAAATTAAGAGCCCATTAAACCCATTCCATCTATTATGTGAAATACAAATGCCACGTTATTTTACCTTTTGTTTCATATGGGTGAGACATTTTGTGTCTTACTTTAAAGGAAAACAGTGACTGGAGGTGTTTGAAAATAAACGGCTAAGTAGAATATCTGGACCAAAAAGACAGAAAATAACTTACTGACGTAGAAAACTACATAGTGAGTAGCTTAATAATTTGTATTCCTCACCAAATATTATTAGGGTTATAAAATTAAGGTGGATGAGATGGAAGTAATGTAAATTAATAAAAAAAAACTGTAGTCAGAAACCTCAAGGAAAGAGATTCCTTCAGAGACATAGGTGTAGATGAGCAGCAAATATCAAAATGCATGCTACAAAGATGTAATTCTACATTTAGAGATAAAGAAATTTACCTGAAATTTGACCCACCTTCTTCAAATAAAAGACTGGCATCTGACGTACTATAAATATATTTCTGACTGGTTCATTAATACATCCTGGTAGCGTAGTTGGTTGAGATGCTATGCTACAAGCTGGAAGGTCATAGGTTCAAGTCCCATTGAGGTCACTGGATTTTTTCAATTGACCTAATCCTTCCAGCTGCACTATGGCCCTGGGGTCTACTCAGCCTCTAACAGAAATGAGTATCAGGAATATTCTTTGTATATTCTTGGGGGTGAAGGACGGCCAGCACGAAAGGCTGACAACCTTGCCACCATCTATGAGCTGATCAGCTTGAAAATGTGGGAACCTCAACATCTCACAAACCTATGGGCCTCCACAGCCTGTTATAGGGATACCTTTACTTTTTTTTTTTTTTAATTAATGCATCAGATACCAGACTGAACTCTGCAGAACAGAAGTAATGAAAAGGCTGGGTAGTTCGTTATGAAAGCCCAAGTACTGGTTTGCTTAATGTAGCAGAATACAAGCATAACTGTGATTTCAGGTGGTAATTAAATGTGAAAAGTATTTTAGTAAATGCTACTTCAAGGGAGAAGCTGTTGACTGCTGTGAAATATTTAAACCACTGTTGACTGAGGTTGGGTTCTGTCTGTCATTCAACTCTATGTACGCTGGAGGAACAAAGTAAGTCTGTAACCAGGAAAGTCCAGTACAGATTATTTTCAAATGTTCACCTTGTGTGGGCCAATATTCTTTTGTGGAGAGTCTACAACATTTTAAGTCAGGCTATGGTGGAAAATGTACTTCTTCCGAATATGATTTAGAATATTTATTATTGCTAGTGGGGTGGGACTAAGTCCCTTGTACTGCGGCCACTTCTGGCCTATTGTACCAGCCCCAGATGACAGGTGTGGGTGAGCAATTGGAGCAATTGGTGGAATGAAGATTGGCAGGGGAAACCGTAGTACTTAGAGAAAACCTGCCCCAGCGCCACTTTGTCCATCACAAATCCCACTTGACTAGACCTGGGATTGAACCCAGGCCGCCAAGGTGGGAAACCAGTGACTAACCGCTTGAGCTATGGCGCAGCCCTTTAGAATATTTAAGTGTACTAAAAATGATTTCACAGGGGCCACGCAGTAGCATAGTTGGTTGAGGTACTATGCTACAAGCAGGAAGATTGCAGGTTCAAGTCCTGATGAGGTCATTGGATTTTTTTCAATTGACCTAATTCTTCTGGTTGCACTATGGCCTCAGCCTCTGACAGAAATGAGTACCAGGAATTAATTAAATAATTGTCCTGGGGAGTAAAGCCCAGCTGGCATGTAAGTCTGACAACCTTACTGCCATCTTTGAGCCAACTGTCTAGATCAGTGTGGTCCAACCTTTAGTTACCTGAGGGCCAATCAAATTTTTGTATAGGAAAGTGTGGGCCAGAGACATTAAAGAAAGAAAACGAATTACATATAACTCACTAGTTAAAATATCACTCTATTTTACAGTTGAGAAATCAATGTGATGATTTCCACTGCTTTTCTGATACAAGTTTATCAATGTCCACTGTAAGTTCAGTAAGGCAAAGTCTCAGGCTTGATTCCAGTGAAGCACTTTCAATGCGATTTCTCATTTTTTATTTAATTTGTTTGAGAGCAGAAAAAGCACTTTCACACACATATGTACTGCCAAACAGCGATAACATTTGCAGAGAGAATTTAGGCAGTTTGGGGAAACATTCTTTAGAAATCAGTTTCCAGAAAGTTTCAGGGACATCACACTTTTTAGTCTGGTAGAATGGGTCTGCCTGAAGATCACAAATTTCCATTTGAAGGTTGCAGGGCACCTCACTCACTTCAATCTCCATGGGGTTATTGAACAGTGCAAGTTTTGGTTTTAGGGAGTCAAAATCCTGGAATCTGTCCTGGAACTCTTTCTTGATATCAATTATTATTTCATGAAACATACTACATTTTGTGTCATTTTCTTCTTCTTCTTTCAACTGCTGACAAGATGGGAAGTGTGCTGTATTATTTGCCTTCAGTGCAATTTGCATTACATCAAGTTTTTTTGTGGAAGCCCTCAATATGTCCATAAAGCTGGGAGATATTTTGTTTTTTGCCTTGTAGTTTTAGGTTTAAAGCATTTAGATGAGATGTTAAATCTGTCAGGAAAGCAAGATTATTTAAAAACTGGATTTCTTCCAGTTTTTCTTGATACTCATGCCCAATGTTTTCATTTCTGAGAAAAGCAAGAATTTCATTCCTCAACCCAAAAAACTGTTGCAGGCAATTTCCAGCACTTAGCCAGCGCACTTCACAGTACAATGAAATGTCACCATACTCAGCTTCCAAATTGTCCAGGAATGCAATAAATGCCCTGTGTCTCTGGGCTTTATTGCCTCCCCTTATTAAATTTACAGTATTTACAACAGTTTTCATTGTCTCACTGAGCCTTATAATTTTTCCACAGAGAGCCTCCTGGTGGATAATACAGTGGAAAAACAAACAATGTATGCCTTTTTCTTTACACAGTCCTACTAACCCAGTTCTATGACCAACCACTGCTTTAGCTCTATCTGTTGCAATGCCAGAGCACTTCCCAAAACCTCCATATTTAGAAACGACATTATCCAGTGCACTGAATATGTCAGTACCTTTGGTGCTGGTTTCTAATGATTTTAATTCCAACAGTTCTTCATGAATTTCAAATTCTTCGTTTATTGTTCTGACAAAGATAAGGAGCTGGCTGATGTCAGCTATATCTGTGCTCTCATCTAGAGCTATAGAGTAAAATCCAAATTTTTCCAAAATGCCCTTGAGAGTACTTGAAACTTCACTACCCATGTCATTAATTCTTCTACTTACTGTCTGATGAGACAAGGACACTGTTTCAAAATTTTTAGCCATCTTATTATCTCCAAATGAAGATGCCATTTTTACAGCACATCTTTTAATGAGCTCACCATCCCTAAAACACTTTTTACTTTTAGCTAGCTCTAAACATACCTCATAAGATGCCTTCAAACCAGCAGTGTTTGATGGTTGCTGAAAGATATTCTTCTGTCTAGTTAATTTCAGCTTCAAATCATTAAACACACAACTCCTGGCACTTCCCTGGTATTGGTCGTATTTTGATTTATGCAAGCTGGTATAGTGTCTACTCACATTATACCCCTTCGAAACACTTAAGACTTGAGAACAGATAACACACTGTGGTTTTCTATTATGTTAAAAAAAGTAACTTTCCTGCCACGTGGACTGAAATTGTCGTTTCTCATCTTCAACACGCCGTTTCTTTAGTTCCGACATTTTAGGTAGTACTGAATGAAAGTGAAAATCGCAGCATGCACGCCACAGATTATAACGGTCGAAGAGTGAAGCTTATTATCGAGGTGGCCATTATAGGAGAAATGAAGATTGTAAGGTGCTGCCATCTGATGGGCAGCATTGCCCATGTCAGTGGTGTCCTGCTAAATCTTCTTCTTGTATGCCCTGCAGGGCAGCAGGAAGAAAATAATGTTTAGCATTGGTCACTCTGTCCTGAATTGATGTTGCCAACACTGCTGATGGCATTTCCTTGAATTTTACAAATACGATTTATTCTGTTTACTGTTATTTAAACTTAAAACAGTAAGAAGGGTATACAATTTTTTCCAAATGTTTAATTAATATTTTTTATCCAGTAAGAAGGGCAAGTGCCAACAAAATGAAAAAGAGGGCCGCGGGTTGGACCACACTGGTCTAGATAATGTGGCACCCTCAACGCCTCACAACCCTATGGACCTTCATGGCCTGTTACAGGGATAGCTTTATTTTAAAAATGATTTCACAAACTGTACTTAATTACTTATGCCAGACAGTAAATTATAGAATCACCATTCGTGATTGTTATGCTGGCCGGTCACGGTAGCCGAGCGGTCTAAGGCATGCACTGTCTTTGCTCGCTCGGAAGCCTGGATCATGGGTTCGAATTCCACTCAGGGCATGGATGTTTGTGTGCGTTTCTCTGTGTTTGTGTACAGGTAGAGGCCTTGCGACGAGCTGATCACCCGCCCAAGGAGTCCTACCATATGTCTAAGATCTAGTAAAACTAAAGTGAAACGGAGAGTTTCATGGAGGTAAGCCTAGGCCCAAAGGAGGGCTGCACCGCCAATGAAAGAAAGAAGAAGAAGATTGTTATGTGTCATATATATAATTTCATAATTTAAGCTGTACCTGAACTTCTTAAAGTACTCAGATATTCCTGGCTTGTTCAGAATATCATCACCAAAGATATAATTAAGCATATCATGAGTTTCAGTTGCTTTCTGGCAAGACACATGAAAGAGATTTGACATAAATGCACTGTTTATTGTTATTTACCACTGTAGAATGTCAGCTGATCTATATGTACTGAGCAGTGGTACCAAAATAATGCTTTAACATAGGTTCACTAGGCACAAAAGAATTTGACTACAGTGCCATGACTCTGTACAGAATCATAAAGACTAAAAATTAGTCCTAGAACTTCATCTGCATACACTCTGTTCTATTCCTGCATGCCTACAAAGTAGCAAAAAGAACATATTTCATCATTGAATATGAAACCAGGACCATTCAGTTTACATTGTGCATGGCTGAGGAATCACATGATTCCTGGAAGAAGAAACAGACTTCTGTCCTCTCCAGTGTGCAGATGGCTTTGGGGTTCACCCAGCCCCTCATCTAGTGGGCACAGACGGTAAAGCAGCTGGGGTATGAAATGGACTTCTAATGTCAGTCTAGTGCTCAGGTTAAGAAAGATGGATACCTGCATTCCTCCATACATCATGACTTGGTGATTAATAAATGTTACCAGATAGGAAACTTTTGCATGAAACTTGTACAAAATTAGAATGAACTTAAATGAATTTCAGACATAATTTCATGCATAACAAACATCTGTAACATGTGCCTGACATAGTAAAAGTAAAAAGTAAAGTAAAGCTATCCCTGTAACAAGCTGTGAAGGCCCATAGGGTTGTGAGACGTTGAGGGTCCCGCATTATCTAGACAATCGGCTCAAAGATGGCAGTAAGGTTGTCAGCCTTATGCGCTGGCCACGCTTTACTCCCCAGCAAAATTATTTAATTAATTCCTGGTACTCATTTCTGTTAGAGGCTGAGTCGACCCCAGGGCCATAGTGCGGCTGGAAGGAATAGGTCAATTGAAAAAATCCAATTACCTCATCAGGACTTGAACCCACGACCTTCCGCTTGTAGCATGGTGCCTCAACCAACTNCAATTTCGAAAGCTGCGCGTGCGAAATCCCTGAGGTCGGCATCTTGCCGGACATGCCTTGTCGCGCTAAGCGAAACCTGACCGGGTCTTCCCACTGATGCTTAAGCAGTCTTTTCTGAAAATAATTCGCTCGACTACCAAGGGCTGTCTCCTCGCCTTCCGGCCAGCCGTCTAACATTTCAACTTAAACACACAATCTTACAAAACTAATGAAATGGGCTCAACAATATAGACAATGATTTAAAATCATTTACATAAGAAAGTAGAGGGAATTTAACAGAGAAATGGTCCATACACCTAGTGATGGAAGAGTTCGAATTATTCTGGTAAGTTCTCCTTCTTTTATCAACCACATGAAACATATCAATATTATTGAACATAACTTGAATAACATTTTGATTTCGATGCATACTGGAGTGTGTTTGAAATCGAATACTGTACAATGTATTGTAAATTTCAGGGGTAAGAATTCATCAGGAATGAAATTCAAATTAGAACATATCTATGAAACAGACAGCAAGTGGAGCCTGAGAATGCTAATAGAAAATGGAGATATGAAAGATAACACTCTTAAGCCTGTAAGGGTAAGCCAGTATGATGCATATTTCGTTAAAAATTGTACAAAAATGATTAATAATTAAATACGTAAATTATTCTGCTGAAGGAGAAATAGAGTGTGTTACAATATTTTGTTAATTAACAACACATTCAGAATAAATGCCCCTTGACTTTCTTTCTTTTTGGGGGGGGGGAGGGGATACATAAAATATGCAGTTAATGGACATGTAGACAGAACTGAAGCCTCAAACCACATGATCACAGCAGCTATTAAGACCATAACACCAGAAATGCACAATATATATATCTTGTCTTGATATCTGCCACGTTACAATGCAAATGTGAAATTTCACTAACACAAATTCTAATTATGTGGAGTAATTTTAATTTTTCTTTCATTCATCAGAGACAGAATAGATCAGTTGGTATAGCAACAGGTTGTGGGTTGAACAGCAGGGGTTCGATTCCAGGCAGGTGTAAGATTTTTCTCTTCTCCACAACATCCAGACCAAATTTGGGCTGCACCCAGCCTACCCTATTGGTATTGGATGCCCTTACCCAGGGGTAAAGCAGCTGTGGCATGATGCTGATCACTCACATCCATCCATTGCTGAGATCATAAATGATGGAGATATATCCCTATTTCCCCTCAAGCCTTCATGGTGTGGTGCTTAATTAAGCATAGGGAAAACTTCTTACCCTTTAATTCAATTAAGTGTCACAATCATGAACATGTAACACTTTGTAATGCTGAACATAATTTGCAGGAACTCTGCGTTACCATAAATGCAGAAGCACTAAGTGATCAATAAGCGGCCTCCGTAGTCTAGGGGTAACGTCCCCACCTCATGACTCAAGGTACGCGGGTTCAAATCCAGTGGAGGTCGTGGAATTTTTAAGGGCAGAAAAATTCAGGGAACAAGTCCTCCGGGAGGGACTTTAACCTGTGGGTCCTGTGTCGTAGCTTTACGGCATGTAAAAGAACCTCATGTCTCAAGGAGACCACTGAGCCA